GATGCAAGAACTATAGCTCAATAGAGCACATGTTTTGTATAGAAAGGTCCCTGGTTTAGTCTCCGGAGGTGAAACCTGCTTCCACCCTTCTGGTCTTCCAGAGGAGTATTAAAACCTGGCTCTGCCTGTTGGCTTGGAGCTCTGATAGAGTGTGCTATGCTGGAGGTGGTTGATTGAGTGATAGATAGAAGTCCACCTCCATGCTCTCTGTGGTCTTGGTTTTAATTTTTAACTATTGTTAATCTTAAATTTTTCTGATGTTTTGAAATATATGCTTTCAAATTGTAAGCCGTCTAGAATCACTCAGGATAGTAAGATGGGTGGCCTATAAATATGATTAAATAAATAACTAAATAACATCAAACTTATGTAAAATATTGATCAAAGGCAATGCATATACTGTATTCATATACATTTAGTAAAAGATCTTGGTTGGGAAATAATTACTTTACAACTGGTAAGAATTCAGGGCAACAAGAAAAAGGGATTTGTGAGAACATTGTAGATATACTCTCCAAAAAGCAACCTCGTAGTTTTGATAAATGATTTTGGCTTCTGCTATACTAGTTATTTTAATAAGACCATGTACAGTATTTGATTGTAGGAACAGAGAAATATGGAAATACAGCTGGAAATTACCTTGAATTTTTCCCTTTGCTTAAAGGCATGAACTTGGTAACAAATTAGTCACTTACAAGCACAGATTGACACAGTAATGCAAATCCAATATTTAAAGATTCTTATATGAGGAATACGAGAGAATTTTATATTATAATCCTATATTATACCATGTTACAATATGCAAACATGATTTGGTTATTGGCTCACATAGTTCATTCAAGTTGAGTTATTCCAGTTCTTCACATTGTAATCACACAATCATATTATCTTGCTTTTAAGTCACATGTTTTTTATTGCAATATATAGGATTATATATTCAGAAATAGCAAACAGGTTTTGTTTGTTGCATCTGAAATCTGCTAAACTGAGGTTTGATGAACTGAGGGTGTACTTATTTATTTTATTTATATTTGTACACCCATCTATCTCATATAGTGACTCTGGGTGGTGTACATAGCAATAATGAAGACTATATAAAAACCGTTACGATCAATTTAAATTAAAATGAAAACAAATGGAAAACATAATGGCAGTGAAACATGCAGAGACTGCATTCTGTTAATGTCATACAGGTAGTTCTCACTTAGCGACTGTTTGAAGATAAAATGGATCTCCCACAAAGGTACTTATGAGTTGATTTTAAAGTTCCAAAGGCTGTACTACTACTACTACTACTACTACTACTACTACTACTACTACTACTACTACTATTATTATTATTATTATTATTATTATTATTATTATTATTATTATTATTATATAGCAGTCACATTATTACATTTTGGGTGCTTGGCAAACAGCAAACCTTTATGGCGATTTACAGCATCCCATAGTCATATGACCATGATTTTTGATGTTTTTTCCTGGTCTGCAACAACAACAAAAAAACCCATTAGATAAAACAGCTTAATGATCACTGTTTTTGCTTAACAACCGCCTCAAAAAAGTAATAAAATTGGGCGCAGTCACATGGTGACCCGCTTAATTACTGTAATGACTTATCACTGTAACTCTGGGCTCAATTATGGTTGAAAGTTGTACATGTACAGTCACCCAACAGGTTCCACTCTACAATGGGCTTCCTCAAGCTAGCTGACAAGCCATGTTTTAAGGGCCTTCTGGAAGTTGGGGTCAACTTCACCTTGTGGGGAGTAATGTTCCACAGGGCAGGGGCTATGACAGAAAGAACTTTCCTCCTAGTGTCACCTGATTACATTCCCTATTTGTATATAAGTTAAATAAAACTGTCTACATTAAATCTACAGCATGAAATTGGAAGTAGTTATACATGAAAAATAGAACAATACATGAAAATTTAGGTGGAAATATGAGAAAGAACTGTAT